ATGGATGGATTACTGAAGGGTTGGATGGATAGATGGATGGATGGATTACTGAAGGGTTGGATGGATAGATGGATGGATGGATTACTGAAGGGTTGGATGGATAGATGGATGGATGGATTACTGAAGGGTTGGATGGATAGATGGATGGATGGATTACTGAAGGGTTGGATGGATAGATGGATGGATGGATTACTGAAGGGTTGGATGGATAGATGGATGGATGGATTACTGAAGGGTTGGATGGATAGATGGATGGATGGATTACTGAAGGGTTGGATGGATAGATGGATGGATGGATTACTGAAGGGTTGGATGGATAGATGGATGGATGGATTACTGAAGGGTTGGATGGATAGATGGATGGATGGATTACTGAAGGGTTGGATGGATAGATGGATGGATGGATTACTGAAGGGTTGGATGGATAGATGGATGGATGGATTACTGAAGGGTTGGATGGATAGATGGATGGATGGATTACTGAAGGGTTGGATGGATAGATGGATGGATGGATTACTGAAGGGTTGGATGGATAGATGGATGGATGGATTACTGAAGGGTTGGATGGATAGATGGATGGATGGATTACTGAAGGGTTGGATGGATAGATGGATGGATGGATTACTGAAGGGTTGGATGGATAGATGGATGGATGGATTACTGAAGGGTTGGATGGATAGATGGATGGATGGATTACTGAAGGGTTGGATGGATAGATGGATGGATGGATTACTGAAGGGTTGGATGGATAGATGGATGGATGGATTACTGAAGGGTTGGATGGATAGATGGATGGATGGATTACTGAAGGGTTGGATGGATAGATGGATGGATGGATTACTGAAGGGTTGGATGGATAGATGGATGGATGGATTACTGAAGGGTTGGATGGATAGATGGATGGATGGATTACTGAAGGGTTGGATGGATAGATGGATGGATGGATTACTGAAGGGTTGGATGGATAGATGGATGGATGGATTACTGAAGGGTTGGATGGATAGATGGATGGATGGATTACTGAAGGGTTGGATGGATAGATGGATGGATGGATTACTGAAGGGTTGGATGGATAGATGGATGGATGGATTACTGAAGGGTTGGATGGATAGATGGATGGATGGATTACTGAAGGGTTGGATGGATAGATGGATGGATGGATTACTGAAGGGTTGGATGGATAGATGGATGGATGGATTACTGAAGGGTTGGATGGATAGATGGATGGATGGATTACTGAAGGGTTGGATGGATAGATGGATGGATGGATTACTGAAGGGTTGGATGGATAGATGGATGGATGGATCAATTGAGATGTTGATGGATGGATGATAGTGTGGTCGGATGAGTGATGATGTATGGAGGAATTCATCAATGCTCTATTGGTGGAACGTAATGTAAAACAAATCAACAAACACTAACTTTTACCATCAACAAATCGATCCATTAATCATTTAGTCAATTCATTCAGTCAGTCATGAGACTTTTCTATGCAAAAAAAAAACAACCAAACAAACAAACTTCGTCCTCAAATAATGGAGGATATCTGTAAATAAATGAATGTATAAAGGTTTTGGGATGAGGTTAATGTGATTTACAAATTATAACAAAATATGTATGTGATTAATATATTAAATAATTTCACATGATGAAAGGCAAAACATCTGAGAAATAACATTAAAGTTTTTCTTTATACATGGATGACAGAAGTACTGGTCCAAATTTCAAACTCTATCTATCAGATTTACTGATTGAGACATCGTCTATTTTTACTGAACTGAACCAGAAGAAAAATCATGTTTACACTCTTCCAGTACAACTGAAATTGGCATGGGACAGATATGACTGGCATGGCCTAACTGTGTGTGTCTGTGTGTGTGTGTGTGTGTGTGTGGGTGTGTCTTCAGGGCCAAACCTCACGCCCTGACGAAAATAAACGGAGAAAAACTACAAGTGATGAAGGTCGTTTTGCTTTTCAATGGATGAGTGATGTATGGAGGAATTCATCAATGCTCTATTGGTGGAACGTAATGTAAAACAAATCAACAAACACTAACTTTTACCATCAACAAATCGATCCATTAATCATTTAGTCAATTCATTCAGTCAGTCATGAGACTTTTCTATGCAAAAAAAAAACAACCAAACAAACAAACTTCGTCCTCAAATAATGGAGGATATCTGTAAATAAATGAATGTATAAAGGTTTTGGGATGAGGTTTATGTTATTTACAAATTACAAGAGAATAATGTATGAATTAATTTAGAAAAATATGTGATTAATATATTCAATCATTTCACATGATGAAACATCTGAGAAATAACATTGAAGTTTTTCTTTATACATGGATGACAGAAGTACTGGTCCAAATTTCAAAATCTATCTATCAGATTTACTGATTGAGATATCGTCTATTTTTACTGAACTGAACCAGAAGAAAAATCATGTTTACACTCTTCCAGTACAACTGAAATTGGCATGGGACAGATATGACTGGCATGGCCTAACTGTGTGTGTCTGTGTGTGTGTCTGTGTGTGTGTGTGTAAAAAAAGGGCCAAACCTCAGCCCCTGACGAAAATAAACGTAGAAAAACTAAAAGTGATGAAGGTCGTTTTGCTTTTCAAGACCATAAATTGCCTTCAGAGATCCTTCAGAAAACACACTGGTATTTTTCACCTCTCCTCATTCTTTTCTTCACTTCACCTTCATTGTTCACTTTGTTATTCATGAGAAGTAGTGACAGTAATAACTGACTGCCAGCTCCTGGAGAAAAAAAAAAAAAAAAACAAGTTCCGACCACTATCACTAAGGTGCTGCAACAAAAGCAAAGCCTATTAAAAGGGTGAGCTACAGGTGATGCAAGCTAAGCAAAAATAGTGGCTAAAAATTAGCTAAGAAAATACGGCCGCGATGGCCGTATCTTCATTTAGAAATAAAAGGGCCGTTAATAATTCATTAGTAGCCCAAAGATTTGAAGAAAAAAAAAAAAAAATGAATGAAACATGAAAGAGAACTTAGACTATGCTAAGATTTGCCTGAAATATTGATTATTAATGAGGGGATGCTAAAAGATAGCCCCCCCCCCCAAAAAAAAAAACAGATACTTTTTTTGAGTTTAAGCTAGTCAATATGACTAAATAATAGTTGAAAAATGACCAGTTTTAAGTTCAGTAAAAAAGTATTTTTAAAAAATAACTAGAAGGTAGACATGTTCTCGGTTAGCATTGCATAGCTAACCAAAACCCACTACAAATTAACACAAACAGCAGTAAGTTAGCCAAGCTACTGCAACAAAACTTTTTATAACAATACAGTCAAGGATCCAAATTATTATTATTTATTTTTTGAATTATCGTTAAAATAATTTAAATGTTATCAAAATACATCTAGTGGCCAAAAGCAGTACAGTTAAATTCTTTTTTTTTTTTTTTCCAAACAGAACTATAAACAAAAATACTAGGTAGTTTTATTACCTGGCTAGTTTTAATTCAATTAAATACTTAATGTTCTACATTTATAGACATTACAGTCTATAAAATCGTTAATCAAAAAATTGTTAAACTTCAACTGACAAGACATGGAAAACATCAAACTCCATCAACGTCTTCATCAACCTGTGCTGCAATTAAATATGTTCGATATTTTAGCATTTCAAAAAAATAAAATGTTTTTTTTTTTAAATCTAATTACACTTTAGGAACATCAACCCCGTTTACGCTTCACCATCGCACCAACAGAATCAAACGCCAACATCTGTGTCATTTGTGTTTTAATCATCGAGCAGAATCCTCTGCTCCATGCATATGGTCCATGTGAAGTGAGAGCTAACGTTTGACCACAGAAATCTCTCACCACAGAGTCCCTGACAATCCTCAAAAATTACTCCGATAAACAATTATCAGAGTAAGAAAACAACAAGAAGAAGATTGGCACCGGGGAAACGGCAATACATGTATGCTAACTTTGAAAAGTGGAGAAAAAACTGTGAACTTACAGTAACTACGTTTTTTTGTTTTTGCAGTTTTAAGCACAAAAGCAGCCGTTAAGGTCAAAATGTCAGTTGCTAACGTCAAACGCAGACAAAGGATGCTGCACTAACTGCTGAAGCTAAATAGCAATATTAGCTGCTTAAGAGAAATAGCTACATTAGTTGCTAAACTTGAACGGCAATATAAGCCGTTTGGGTCAAACATATACAATAACTGCTTTAGTCAAATAGTCAAACAGGTCCTTAGATTAAATAGCAAGTCAAGTCAAGTCATAGATATAAAAGCTACTTTTGTTACATACATTGAAAAGCTGCTAAAGTCAAACAGCTACATCAGGTGCTTAAGAGAAATAGCTACGATAGTTGCTAAAGTTGCACAGCAACACAAGCTGCTTGGGTCAAACATACTAAAAATGCTTTAATAAACTAGGCACAATATGTGCTTAATTAAAATAGCATCATTAGCTACCGTATATCCTGCTTTGAGAAACTGATGTTGTCAAACAGCTACATTAGCAACTAAAGTCAAAAGGCAGCTTTGGCCACTAGCTTTGTTAACTGCCAACGTTAAACAGTTCAACATACTGTATATGTTAGCTGCTGATGTTTACAGGCTACATTAGCTGCTAGAGTCCAAAAGCTATGTTTACTGTTAAAGTCAACATGCTACATAAGCTGCTAAAATGAAACCGCTAAATGAGGTAGAAAAGTTAAAAGAACATTCGTGACGGAAGTTAAATTAAACAGCTACAATAGCTAATGTCTACTCTTATTTAATTTAATGACAATTTTAAAGGAAACAAAACTCCCAATATGTCCATACAACCAGTTTAAAACCGTTTGAATTTGAAAGGCCACTGATTGCTGGTGTAGCCTAAGGATGTTAGAATCCTCATCCTCGTAAGTCAGGTGTCTGAACACACTGGAAACCACTGACCTCTGATCTCACACACACAGACAGACAGATGTGTAAAAGCCACAACATCACAGAATGTGACAGCTGGACTGACCTGGTGACAGTGGGGGTTGGACTCTCTGCCATACGAGTATGAACTCCTCTCGGTTTTACCTGCAGGAGAAAAGAAGAATAAAGGAGTCAGAATATATCTTGTCTGAATAAATATTTATAAATATACATTTTTAACAGACTGAACAACTTGAATGGAAAATATTATCGACAGTGTTTGATGTTTTTCTGTAACATTTAAAACACAAATTTCAATCCTTGTCTTTAGTATCATCTTAATGTGAAACCTGTTGCCCTGAGTAAACAGCAGAGCTAACATTAGCTTCAATGGGACTGGAGTAAACACCAGAGCTAACATTAGCTTCAATGGGACTGATACAAACACCAGAGCTAACATTAGCCACAAAAGTCCTGGTACAGACACCAGAGCTAGCCTTAGCCACAACAGTCCTGGTACAGACGCCAGAGCTAACATTAGCTACAGCAGTCCTGGTACAGACACCAGAGCTAGCCTTAGCCACAACAGTCCTGGTACAGACACCCGAGCTAACATTAACTACAACAGTGCTGGTACAGACACCAGAGCTAGCCTTAGCCACAACAGTCCTGGTACAGACACCCGAGCTAACATTAACTACAACAGTCCTGGTACAAACACCAGAGCTAACATTAGCTCCAACAGTCCTGGTACAGACGCCAGAGCTAACATTAGCTACAAAAGTACTGTTACCAACACCAGAGCTAACATTAGCTCCAACAGTCCTGGTACAGACGCCAGAGCTAACATTAGCTACAACAGACCTGGTACAGACACCAGAGCTAACATTAACTACAACAGTCCTGGTACAAACACCAGAGCTAACATTAGCCTCAACAGTACTGATACAAACACCAGAGCTAACATTAGCTACAACATTCCTGGTACAGACACCAGAGCTAGCCTTAGCCACAACAGTCCTGGTACAGACGCCAGAGCTAACATTAGCTACAAAAGTACTGTTACCAACACCAGAGCTAACATTAGCCTCAACAGTACTGATACAAACACCAGAGCTAACATTAGCCTCAACAGTACTGATACAAACACCAGAGCTAACATTAGCCTCAACAGTACTGATACAAACACCAGAGCTAACATTAGCCACAAAAGTCCTGGTACAGACACCAGAGCTAGCCTTAGCCACAACAGTCCTGGTACAGACGCCAGAGCTAACATTAGCTACAACATTCCTGGTACAGACCCTGGAACAAGATACTTTGGAAGAGGAAGAATGACCAGGTGATGGTTTCCTTTGCTGCAGGCATCAAAACATTTCTTAGCAGCAACCTTTAAACCAGCCTCAGGACCCTGTTCTTTTAGGTCAGTCAGTCTTACCACAGGCACAAGTTCATGTAATTTTGTTTGTTTGTCTGTCTTGTTTTTTCAAAGGGTTGATGATAAAGCCCTTTGTAATGCATTCACCTCCATTTTGCCGAATCTGGTTTCAACCACGGCTGGATCAGAAGCCAAGCCTTTTGGGCAGAAGACTAACCCTCTATGCTCAGGTCTCTGGGAAGTCACCTTTACAATCGTTGCTTGTGTGGCGTCCTTTCATGTTGTGGCCTCACTGCACCTTTTGTGTGTCGCGCTCGCGAGGTTGTAAAACACACAAAACCCCACGACCGTGAGCAGCTTTTTCGGTTCGCCGTCGGAAAACCAAAGGTCTTTACAGAACGTCTTTGTTCGAACACGTCTAAACATGTGTTCATACTGACGTCAGACACGTCGGAGCTCTTTCAACTCCGGCCAACGCCTGATCGCTGCAAGACAGGAGGGTAAAAAACCCCTCTCTTGGCAGGTAAACCACCAATCGTTTTAGAGCTCACAAACTGAGCCCACAACAAAGCTCATTTCCTGCGCGGGCTCCTGAGCAGCCGATCCTTCTGCTGCTTCCTCGGGCCTATTTTTAAGCCCCCCCCAAAAACCCCTTCAAATGTTTAGCCAGTCTAAATATCAAACCGCACTCAGTGTGTAATTACAGCGAGCGGTCGCCGCCGCCGCCGCTGCACACCAGACGATATGAAGTGGTTTTCGCAGCGACGGGGAACGTGCAGGAAAATGAAGCGTGTTGGCGGTGAAGGGTTTTGAATCAGGGCTGAATCCCAGCCAACATGGTAGTCCATGCAGAAGAGGCTGATAATTACAGCCGTGTGTGTGTGTGTGTGTGTCATACAGTGGCATCGGCTGCAGCCTCGACTCATGCCAGCTGGACCGGGGTTGGCATTCGCACAAAGACGAGCGCACGTGTACGTGCACGTGCCCGCTGTGCAAATATACACAGATGTGTCGTATAGTGGTAATCTAAGAAGACGTTCACTCGCATGTGAGCAGTACATGCTGGATATGTATGTATTTTAATGGAAAAAAAATATATATATATATATATATAATTATGGATTTAATATTTATTTATGAAATATTTACAAAGACATGATGGATATTATTTTTATATATAATATTTTTATTAATATTTTTTTACTATTGTACGCCGTAGTATTACGTGTAAATGATGGCTTTATGTAAGAGGTGCAAAATACATGATACTACTACACTTCCAAATCTGGATTATTTGAACAACTTCACTATCATTTTGCTTGAATCACTGCTTAATTTTTCACCGTTTACGTTGGATTATTTTGACCTAAAGCGACGAGCTGATCAATGGTCAATGGTCTGGTTTTTCTCCTTGTGAACAAATCGGACACTCTAATGTATAAGCTACTAGCTAGGTGTCACCGATGGCTAGTATCAGTATTTTTTTTTTTTTACCATTTACTTGTATAATGTTCTTTGCTCCTCCTTGAAAGTAGAATAAATATATATTTAATATTAACTGTATAACGGTGTGATTATTTAAATACAAATAAAAACTTTGTTTGTTGAAAATGTAACGATCATTTTCACAGGGCACTGGGCACTCAAACAATGTCCTGATTAAAAAAAACATAACATACGTATTTTAGTCCATTCAAACAATGGTGAACGTCAGGCTGATAAATACGACATGAAATTCCGCGTTTCGCACTTTTCTAGTCAAATTGCGCGAAGTTGACGTCGACCACGATCCGGGTTATGTCCTGATGATTTTGCAGGCGAGTTCACCGTGAGGCTCGGCATCATCTGTGCACGTGCACGGGCATGTTCACGTGCACAGATGATATCCACCACACACACACTCTCTCTCTCTACATGAGGCCGACTGGTCGTGTAGATGAGTTTGTGAAAAATATGGACGAATGCCAACAGTTTTGTCTCCATGGGAAAAAAAAAAAAAAAAACACACACCGAAAAAAAAAAAAAAAATTCCCTGGACAGGATTTCAGCATTTGTTCTCACACACACACAGACACACAGACACACACATCGCTCGTTTTAGTATTAAATTCAGTTCACATTTTGTCTTGAAAAAAAAACAATAAAAAAACAGAGTAAAAAAAGATATGATAAAAAAAATTATTAAAAATATATATTTTTGAGAATTCATAATTATTTTGTCTCTAATGACTATTATGATTATATTTTATTCAAAATATAATTGTTTTATTTTATGTTTATTCTTGAGCCAAAATTTATTTTATATTTGTGTTTAAAAATCACATTTTTTTTTACATATTTTTTCCTACAATATTAGATCATTTAATTTTGTTTTTTTTCATATATTATTTTTGGTCAAATTTGCCTTTCCAAACCACATTAAAATATTGTTTTCTTTTCTGTTTTATTCTTCAGTTTTAAGGACCATTCCCTTCTACCTTTGTACTGTATTTACTTTGTGTTTCGTCCTGAGACGTGAAAAAGAAATGTCTCCACTCTGACCTTTGAACCTCAGGCTCTCTCTCTCTGTACCGGTCTCTCTCTCTCTCTCTCTTCCTCTCTCACACACACCCTTTATTGTGTTATACGTCTAATCTTAATCTTCCTTAACTTTAATTTGCCTCAACAATTCTCAAACTCATCATCTCATCCGACGGGGAATGAAAAATATCCAGGTACGACAAGGTGTCCCCACAGGCTACCAAGAACACACACACACACACACACACACACACAGACACACACTGACACACACTGAAATGTGCAGTATTTTAATTAGAGAGAGACGAAACATGCAAGGACGCAGAGGGTCAAAAATAACTGTAAATCTTAATCGCACACAAAAAATGTCTTTTTTTAATTTTTTTTTTAAAAGAAAATTCTTTCATTTAGAGTCAGACAAATAGTCCAAGATCTATTTTAGATTCATTATATAATATCTAAACAACAATTCAGATAATAAAGAGAAATATTTGATCAAATTAAATTATAGAAAAAAAAAACAAAAAAAAAACAGGGGATATTAGAAAATTCCACTTCTTTCCCCTCTGGTTGGATGCAATCGAATAGAAACTCAAACTCTATCTTGAGTTTCACTGCATTTCCACCGATTTTGAACGACTAATACGACAAACTGTTTCAACACTGATGTTAGAAAAAAAACAAAAAAACAAATATTAAACATATTATTGAAGTA